TTACTGTTTACTCCTCTAACTTTGATCTGTTTTTCAAAACAGAATGACAAGTAGGTTGTTTGGGGAATGCTTTAAAGGACTTGTCCAAGTGTATTGGTATAATCAGTATTTGGTCAGCAGATTTTTTTTTTTAAAACTCTCAGTTTGAAAAAAAGATGGGCAGCTTTAAGACTGTTTAATTAAAAAAATTCAAACAAATGGACCCCAAAAAACCACAACCACTCCCCCCAAAATTTTGTGAGAATGAGGTTTGCTGTAGTTGCTTACTGCTCATTAAACCAAAAGCATCTTAGAGCAGCTAAGTGTGAGAATTTTCTTGTTCTGACAGACTTGAATATGGCTTAAGACTTTCTCTAGTTGATAGTATCTAAGTATAGAAAAGAAGTTAATTGTTCACAGGTGACAGTGATCTGATTTCTTTGCCTAGCTGTGAAGAGAACTCTACAGCTATTTTGGTTTTTTAAATATGACAGATGGCTGAGATTTAGTATCTGTTAAAGTGCATGTCTGCTGCTAAGTCACTCCTGGTTTAGCTTTACTCCATGTAAAGCAAATGGTAACAGGTGCAAATATATACACAAACAATAGTAAAACATGGCATGCATGTTAGGAAGAGACTAAATCGTGTTGCAGATCTTAAGTGATGTTACTCTTAAATGCACTAGTGCAAGGTACTCTGCAAGCTTACTGTAATTTATGTGAATCTAAATCTCAAAGCTGAAGTGCAGCAGTTTTTCCTAGGCCACTTACTACAGTAATCCTAACAGCACAGAAAGGAATTCACCTCTCTGCAACTGTCACTTATATATGATAGTGTTGATACTGTGGGGTCCACTTGAATCATATGTAGTAATGTGGTAGAGGATTGGCAAGAATATGTATCACTATGAAAGTACCTTTAATGGAAAGAGGAGAGGAATATCTGTGCTTAACATAACATAAGAATACTAAAGAATAACTAAAATGATGGGGAAGGATGAAGCCCTGGTAAAGAAGTCAGTTGATACATGGGAATATTAGGCAATTGAGCCTATGGGAGATGAGCTTTCAGCTCTGGTTACACTTTTTCATGTAAAAACGGGGCTGAGTATGTGCAGCCTCTGGCCCCGAAACCAAAATCTGTAGCCCTAATACAACACCTCTGTCAGTAAGATTAATCTTGAATAAAGTTCAAGACATTTCTTTTTTTTCCCTTTCAGAGCTGTCACAGGCACATGTGTGCACACACACATATCCATATGCACACACACATATGCAGTGTTGAAAGGAAGGTAACACTGACTTATTGTCACTGGATCAACAATTGCATGAGAAACATAGTTATCTTTGCAGAAAAAGTACATTTCAGTCACAGAATAACAGGCATGGAGTTAGAGCCTTTCTATAATTTACACTGGGCAAACACTGAACAGTTTGTGCTTGGAGGGGGAAAACCTCGAAGTCTTTGAAATAAGTAACAACTGTTACGCTTTGGCTCTCTTACTTAGAATTTAATGTGAAATACATTAACTCTTCATCTGGGTGTTATTTGTCTGCAAACAAGCCTTTTTGAAGATGATATGATAAATGTTGCAGGCAGCTGTGTCTTAGAGCAGCTTTAGACACTGCATCACATTTAATGGCAGCTTTATGTTTGAGACAAACTAGTACGTAATGAACTGAATAAAGCTTTTTTTTTTCTCCCTGTTTGGGTACAACAACCCATGTTGTCTGTTCTGTTGTCTCTACAGTGTTTTACAGCTAGTTAACAGGACTCAATAAGCTGCTGTCTGCTTTTAGCAATGGTAGTTCCCCACTTAGATTTGTACAGTTGTTACTATTTGAATGGAAGAGTTTTGCATAATGGAATTGAATTAGCAGGATAGCTTTGCCAAAAGGTAAAAATAGCAGCAACAAGGTACAGATTTAGTCTCTTCTGGCAAGCGAAAAAATCAATTAACATACTATAATCCAGAAATTCTGTGCTTGTTAGTGGTTTGGTTGTATTTCTGTTACTTTTAGATTGAATGCTGTTTTGAGAGGTTTTCCTGGCTCTAGCAAAGGCTCTGAACCTTGGAAACTGTTGTGGGCAAACTAGAAGCTAGTAACCTTTTCAATGAAGCTTCCCCTGAAGTGAAAGAACGGCTGGAAAAGGTCTGATCAGTGGCAGGAAGGGAAGGAACCCTTCAACTAAGGGGAAGAAAACCCAGCAAACCAACATTAAATAATAGTTCACTTACTTACTTAAAAATAGAGATGGACAAAAAGCACCTAGAAGCATGACAACAAGACAAATGTCACCTGCTGTATGACATTCTGGGGAAATCTGGTAATGGCAGAACTCAAACTTGGGAAGAAACACAAGTGGGTCTAGAGAGAAGCTGTGTTGGAAGAAGGAGGAGGTTGAGCCCTTGCATTTGAGTAGAAAACCAAGGAAGTGCCCTACCATCTTAAGAGAATGGTGTCAAAGCACTGATGGAGGTAAAAGCAAGCTCACAATGCTGAGAATTGGCCTGCTTCAGTGTTTGCGTAGCGTTTATCTTCCTGCTATTGGCAGCAATCACTTTGGATTTTCTTGCATTAATAATAGCTGCTGCCAGGGGTAACCTCCTGTCTGCTCCCTCTGTCCTGTCAGGACGCAAGGAGTTTTGGATTTACCACTTTATCCTGTTTGTGTCATAACTGTGGCTGGAAGAGCTGGGTGTTGGAGGTGCTAGTGACACAAGTGCTTTGTGTCTGCTGCTACGCAGCAGGGCCACTGTGTGCTGGGCTGAGGGATGAAAAACAGCAGCTGCGGCTTGGGCTGTCCGGTTTTGCCACAGATTTCTTTAGTAGTTTTGTGGAGTGGGACAGAGTTTGACAGGGAGGACAAAGACCAGGAGTGGAGCTGTTTGAAGGACAGACTTCTAGATGCCTTCCTC